CTTCTACCATCTCGATAAACTGGTCTAATGTCAAGGACTTAGCCCAGTCCGCCATGCGTCTCCCATACCCGGCCTTGATAACTACACCATCTAACCATTTGGCTGCCTTACTCTTGAGGTAAGATGCAGCAGTTACCACTTCGTCCTCAGCCAAGGTCCTCTTTGCCTTCACCCAAACCGGGACCGTTCTCAACCATGTGTTGAGTTCCTCGTCCTTTCTCTCGCCTGAGAAGGCAAGAGGCGGTTTCATTGGGGTTTTAGGGTACCATTGACCTTGCGGCTGTCCTTGTGGAGGACTAGCCTGTTGCGGTGGTGTAGCAACCACCGCTGGACCCGAAGAAGAAGATGCAACAGTCTGTGCGGCTGCTGCAGATGTGCCACTTGGCTGTGTGCCAGCTTGAACCGGAAAGGGGCCTGACATCGCCGATAACGGCAACGGCGAGTGTGATGGTGGCCGGAATCCTGGCCTTGTCAAAGCATCCAGGATCTGGTCTAGAGTGCTCTGCATGAAGTCTAACTTGCTGTCGACGTGTGCGTGTAGTGACAACATATTTTTCTTCGAAACTTTCAGCGGGTCAGTCAATACTGACTCATCTAAGCCCTCTAGTTCAGCCTTGTCAGCCTCTAAAGATTCAAGCCTGGCTGCTCTCGTTTTCATCGCATTTTGTCTATCGGTAGCTTCTTTCAGGTCCTGCTCTAACTTACGGCGGAGCATCTCGACCTGCTGGATCTCTCCGAGCTCCCTCTGACGCGGGGTCAATGGGCTGAACTGCGAGCCCGCCATTTGACTAGAAGACTTTCTAGAACCTGTGGAACCGGAAGTGCCCTAGGAACTTGTGGAACTGGTTGGCATTCCCAACTGGCCCCCATTAGTCCTTGACGAGGACGCAGACGATGACGCAGCAGAGCTTGCGCCGTTAGCCATTGCAGCTGCCCTGGCTGCTGTTGCCTGCTCTCTTGCTGCTCTGTTTGCTTCTGCTATCCCTGCTGCTAACGCACAGGCTCTACGCATCTGTCTTTCTTCTCCCGGATCCAAGGCCTGGAACACGTGCGGTACTCTTAGTGCCTGTGCACGTGTTAGTCTCCTGTTGTCAGCTCTATCATCAACAGGATCTGACCCACTCATTAGTTAGACCGACAATATCTGCACTAGAATCCCCTAGTGGAATCCTACCACAGCATATGTCTGACCGGCACTTAGTTTTCTAGAAATAGTTGTGTCCGGCGAGTTCCCTACTATACCGAATCAAGTGGCATGTCTAGAACATTCACACAGATTGTCTACAAAGTCTAGATGCACCCTGAATGGTTCACTTACAGCAGCATTAGTTAGAACTGGCTATGGTAGCATACAACAGTCCTACACTAATTCTGTCTGTGAGGTTAGCAGTCCGTCAACCAACTAATCAAAGGTACAAAAAGACAATGTAGCAGATGTATGATTGATGGGTATGGTTGTGTATACAGTTGAGCACCAATTGGAACCTACCCTCCCCTCAATCCAACATACCGAACAGCATCATTGAGCGAGCAGTGTCTTCGTGTGTGAATCGGCCCACCCCTGTGCCCAAGTTGTCACCGAGCAAGTCAGCCCAACCACTCTTATTTACCCTCGTACGGCGACGAGCCTTCCTGTCCATGTGATCTGGCTGATCAGGAGGAATTTATAGAGCGCCCCCA